CGATGGGCTCTTAAATACTAGCTCAAGAATTCTAGATCAAACGCGCCCTGCTCTTCGGCATTGGCTTCCGCTGACTCGATCCTCACATGAAGACTCAAGTGCTATCAAACCTTAACCCTGAACCTCTCATCTTTTCAAATGTCCATGTTCATGACATTGCGCGCAAAGTCATATATACTGAGAGCGCAAGGTCATATAAACAGGAACTAGGCAAAGTCATATAAAGAGCGGCAAGGTCATAAAATCAATCAGCAAGGTCCGTAGGCTGACCCATGACCTTGCCCAATCTGTTTATGACCTTACCCAATCTGTACGTGACCAGGCTTTTGCCCGCTCTTTGTATGGCCGCGCCCTCTCTTGGGCAAGGTCATACAAGGTCATATAAAAAGCGATCAAGGTCCTTTGGATTGGGCCCCGCCCCCCACTGTCCCCCCTTGCGCTAGGGTTTCGGATCCTCGGGTTAGGGTGAGGCAAAAGGTTCAGGGCCTAGTGTTTAGGGCAGGGTCTGCGTTGGGTTGTGTGTGCGCCTGTGTTCGTGTGAAACATGTCGATATCTTCTGTCATGGTATGGGATTAGTGAATGCTTAGACTTGACTAAACCCTAGGATTTAGGGTTTGGGGGTTAGAGTTTAGGGTTGATACCCACAAGCAACATCGAAAAAGATTAGACGCGTGGCCTCTTTCTTTTCAAAGAGCAGAAGGTCCCTACTACCTTCTTCTACTACGCTTCTTTTTACACATGTGTTGTCATTGCAGTTGTTTTGGCCCTAAGTATTAACGATCTATACGATCATACCCTCTATAAATCGATTGACAACAAATAGAAAACCAATAGAAAACCAGTAAAAACCGATAGAAAACCATTAGAAAACTTATAAAAACCAATAGAACCAACAAAAACCAGTAGAAAACAAATAGAAGCCAATAGAAAACCAATAGAAAACCTATAAACACCAATAGAAAGCCTATAAAAACCAATAGAAAACCATAAAAACCATAAAAACCTATAAAAAAACAATAGAAAACCAATAGAAAAGCCATAGAAATCCAACAGAAACCAATAGAAAACAAATAACAACCAAAAAACCAATAGAAACCAATAGAAACCAATAGAAAACCAATAGAAAACCAATGGGAAACCCTCAAGACAAAATAAATCGAAATTGTATGTGGGGTCACTCTGAATTTCCCAAGGTAGTTGTCTAAACAGCTGCCAAGCTGAGCTTAGGTATATTAATCCAGATGCTCAATTTATTTAAGCCCCTTCTCCCCTCCCCGCCCCCTTCCTCCCTCCCCTCCCCGCCCCCAAACCTCCTCCTCCCCTCTCCTGCCCACAAATCTTTCGAAATCTGCCCCCCCTCCCCCTCTCTCCGCTGCCCAGGATCTCCCCCCCGCGTTCCAGATCTCTCCAGATCCCCCCCAGATCTCTCCCCCAGTTTCCCCTCCCTGCCCCCTTCCCCCCCACCCCCAAATCTCAGGCCCAGCTGCCAGATCTGCCCAGATCTTTCTTCCAGATCTCCCCCCCCCAAAATCTCCCCCCCACATCTTTTGCCCGCGGACAATTTGGCCATTTACAAGGCTTTTCTGAGTGGCTCAAAGCTTCAAGGCCTGGCAGGGATGCCTCCTGGCAGGGATTGGGGACGCAGACATATCCATGGCGCCCTTCCTCCCCTCGCCCCCTTTACCCCCGACCCCCGTTCCAAAAAAAAAACCGTTTCGTTCAAAACGTTTCGTTCAAAAGTTATTGGGACCCAAACCCTATACAACTTCTGTAAGGCATTTCACACAGACCCGACTGCACAGGGGCTTGGAGGAGCCCGAAAAGATCTGGGCTGGAGAGCCTTAGAGGGTCTGTGAAGCAATTTAGGGGCCTGACATGACATGGCTCCCCCGGAAGCGGTTTCGGGCAAATTGAAGGGGCTGGAAAAGCCTCCGACAGTTACATAATACTTTACTCAAGTCGCGCTAAGCCAGATGCTTCACTGCAAACAATCGCAATCCACGAGGCTTCACAGTCACAACAAACAAGCTGCTTCAAGTCACTACCAAGTCTCAATCTCAACACAAGAATTTCGTAGTTAAGCACGTCGCAATCCACGAACCCGAATGCTTTAGGGTTTAGGGTTTAGGGTTTAGGGTTTAGGGTTTAGGGTTTAGGGTTTAGGGTTTAGGGTTTAGGGTCCCTAAACCCTAAACCCTAAACCCTAAACCCTAAACCCTAAACCCTAAACCCTAAACCCTAAACCCTAAACCCTAAACCCTAAACCCTAAACCCTAAACCCTAAACCCCCTAAACCCTAAACCCCCTAAACCCTAAACCCCCTCAACCCTAAATCCTCTAAACCCTAAACCCCCTAAACCCTAAACCCCCTAAACCCTAAACCCCCCGAAACCCCAAAACCCCTAAACCCTAAACCCCCCCAACCCTAAACCCCCTAAAGCCTACCCCCTAAACCCTAAACCCTAAACCCTAAACCCTAAACCCTAAACCCCTTGAAGATGACCCTGAAACCTTAAACCCTAAACCCTAAACACCAAACCCTTAACCATTTATGGGAAACCCCTTAGGTTTATGGGCATGGGAACCCCTTACTAAACCCTAAACCCTGAACCCTGAACCCCTAACCCCCAACCAAAGCCCCAAAGCCCCAAAGCCCCAAAGCCCCCAAGCCCCAAAGCCCCAAGCCCCAAAGCCCAAAGCCCAAAGCCCCAAAGCCCCAAAGCCCCAAAGCCCCAAAGCCCCTAAGCCCCTAAGCCCCTAAGCCCCTAAGCCCCTAAGCCCCTAAGCCCCTAAGCCCCTAAGCCCCTAGCCCCTAAACCCTAAACTCTAAACCCTGGATGCCAAGAATCGCTCGATTCGAGCGCCTCTAAGTCCACGTGGAATCCTCCGACAAGGGGTTGAGCACCTTGGGAGTGAGCTGCATTGGCGCATGTCGAAGTGTCATAGAGATGCCTCAGAGTCGAATTTGGATGACCCCAACTTGTCACGTGACGTGCCAATTCGTTCGGTCGACACCACATTCGTGTCCGACCAGGTGGACATAGCCAAATCTAGCAGTAACAAGACTTGCGGCTTGACTCTAACTTCTAATCAGCGGTTGAGGATTCGTTGCCTCTCTGACTGGAGCGCCTGTAGCTTTGCCGCAGGTGTCATGTTGGTGCTTTTCCACATTTTTGCCGCGTTGCTTGCTTTGCAGTCAGGGCATTCCGGGCCTGAATTCCAAGCAGACTTCAGCTTTGCGGCGAGACGAAATAGAACCATGCTAGAGTACAGAGCCGCGTCGTATTTGTTTACGACAGTGCCGTCTCGGAGTTTGAACTAGACTCCATTATAAAAAGACCGAACGCGGACGCATGTGTTGCAGTTTGGGTACTGCCACAAACTTTGGAAACCGCCATGTTGCAATCTCAGCCCGGGGCCGATACGACGCGGCGCAGCCGTGACCAACAGGCCAGGCCAGGGTTTAAGAGGATTCGGGTTTATGCTTTTAGGGTTCAGGGTTAGGGTGCTTAGGGTCTAGAGTTGAAGATGTTGAAGCGATGAGGGGCCGGAGGCACTTGTTGTCTTATCTTTTATATATATATATATATATATTGCCACGTCGCCTCAGACCGGTTGAAATCTGGTTCGAGCACGTGAATGTATCACCTTATCGTCTTATAGTCGTCTTCAACCTGCGTTCCGGCTCGAAAGAAGTAGCATGAAACCAAGTTGTGCAAATCAGGAATCTTCGCTGAGCCGCTGGGGCCTGACACGCTGAGGAAGCACCCTTGCCAGACCTCTCGCCCACTTCCGCACATCATGCCAGTGAGTCCGGCGCTCCGAGCTTGTTTGTCCTCACCCGTGCCGCTCGGCATTGCCTCCTCAGTGCTCCTGTTGAGCAAAGAGAGCTGCGACACCTTCTACCAAATCTGCCGCATGGTCCTTTGGCATTTGGCTCAAGCGGGCTGTAGCGCGAGCCAAGTCCTCTGGAGTGCACTTCTGTTGCTTCGCCTGCTTCGCAAGCTTTTCGGCCTGCTTCATCCAAACACTCGAAATTTTCTCCTTGGCCAGTAGATGTGGCATGTCTTTGTTAGCTGTCGCCAGAGCACACAGGACTGCATGTACAGGTAGTTCGCTTCGCTTCAGCTGCGTCAACCACATGGTTGCAAACTCTTCGTTCGCCTTCAGGAAGACAGCATGCTGGTAGGAGGGGCCGAAGCGCAACACGGCCGCCCGAGATTTCCGCAGGGCCAGCCTGCCTTTGAAGCCTGAAGTTAGTTCGCAGCTTGGGGGTCCCAGTTTGCGGGGGTCAAAGATCCCCTAGAAACCTAAAACCCATATGTGGTTGATCAAAATTCTGGGTCTTTTTGGGTCTATATTCTAGTATATTCCTCATCGTTTAGGGTACCAAAAGGGCCAATCATTTAGCTCAATCCCTATATAAAGCTTCAAGCTTCAGTGAAGGGTTGGACTTTCAGGGCCAGCTGAATGTGTTACAGCGGCTGACTGCGGAGGCAAAGGAGGGGACCGAGGCCTTGATGGTGTTCTGCTGAAAGGACCACGTCAACTGGATGTCCTGATGTGAACTTTTGCGAAAAACGAACTTCGACATGAGATTACATGAGTATAGGGCCCCTGACCGCAGTCGCAGTGCGTGTCCTCATCTCCCGTTTGCGTAAAAAGTGGCAGCGTCATTCGAATCATCCAAGACTTCACAGAACCTCAAGGCCAAGACACGCCCGCAGGGAGAAAGCTTTTTAGGTGCTGGCTTGAGATTTCAAGGCTTAGGGTTTAGGGTTTTGGGTTTTTGTGGCCGTACGTTTCACGTAGTATATCCCCCAAAATAGGATACTCCCTTCGTATCCAAAAGGGGGTCATAACTTATGGAAACCCCCAAAGCTGACCAACTCTGCGGGAGGAGCCGATGCGCCGCATCAGGCCCTGATTTGAATTGGCTGAACTCTGCAAGGAGGCATCCCGGAGGTACTGAGCCTCGACTGTTCTTGGGGACACCAACTCATGACCGGTGCAGGGATTCGGGCTGAGAGGGAGTATACGCATGAGCTCGGATTATGAGGCCGGGCGCGAGGACGTGGATCAGGACATAGGTGCAGCAAACCACCAGTAGAAGCAGCAGAAAAGCCGCAGTGCCCCGCGTGGCAGTACTCGAGGGGGTCAAGATCAACAACGCCGCGACGGCACTGAAGAGGAGGAAACGCACCATGCCGAGACTGACCTCTGTCTTCTCACATGAAGGGCTGGGCTTGGGGCTTGTCGGGTCCCTCCACATCCCTGAACCCCAAACCGCCAACAGCACCTCCAGGACGTCCAGGACTTCGGCCTGATCATTGGCAAAGGGCCGGAACCAGGCGGCCATGGCGAGCTGGAGACCTGACGGGGGCTTGAGGGGGCTGTCTGTTCAGGGTCTCTATAGGGGGGTTTAGGGTTTAAGGTTTAGGGTTTTCGGGTTTAGGGTTTTCGGGTTTAGGGTTCAAGGTTTATAGGGTTTAGGGTTTTCACGATGGACATATCGCACAGATGCCCACCTGACAAGATCGGGAAGAACATGAGCTTCGCTTCGGGGGACTGTATGACGGACGTATAGGCCGTGACCATCATCAGGGCCACATCTGCCCGCTTGACTAGGATGTCCCACCACCAGTACTGGGGCTCGTAGCCCTTGATGAAGTATCCGAATTGCCGATAGTTGTCGGGGTCTTGTCGGTCCGACAAGCTGATCAGCTGCCACGCCAAGGCCAATGGAATTCCTAAGCACCACAGGAAAAGTCCAGCAATAGCTATCCCTGCAGAAGGGAGGTGCGCATCGGACCAACACTCAATCCCAGGGCTTGGCAGCAGCCGGCTGCTCACCCTGTCCTCTTCGCGGATGGGGATGCACCAAATCATGCGCAGGAAGGCCGACAGTAGTGTGGGCCAAAGTGACACCAGGCCGATCCATACCACTGGAAGGCTCTGCCGAGCAACCTGACCCAAGTGTGAGTTGGGTCTGAAGAGGCCAAACTCAAGCAAATCCAGCTCAATGCCCTCATCAAGGTCCAGCTCGTCGTCCGTGCACTTTTCTTCCACATCTCACCTTGGAGCACAACAGGGGTTCTGTGGCCATGTGTGGCCTGTCTGCACTGACTGATCTGACTTTACAAGCCCAGTCACGCGGGATTCTGGATTTCGGCACGTTCAGATGGGACAGGCATATCCTCATCATCGGAATGATCCGACCGGGGGCAGCTGACCATCTTGCGCTGATGCGTAGCCTGGGGTATCACAGCTAGGGTCGTCTTTGGTTTGCTGACGTCCTCCGTGGTGTCATCCATCCTCTCCAAGCTCTCCAGTGAGGCTTGCTCTGCGTGTTCTGCATTGAAATCCAGCAACAAGACATCCTCGAGCTTCACCTTTCCTTCCGGGTCCGCGGCATGCTCGTCGGAATTTCGGGGACCTTCCGCTGCCTGGATGGGGAAGGCAGTGAATCCGAGAGTTAAGAAAAATTAACTCTGAAGTTAATGGCCCGGCATCGGGCAGGCGCGACCCCCCTTAGGTCCAGCACAATTAACTCTCGATTTAATTGGCCTGCTACGTCGCGCGACGCACCATGCCATCCCAGCAGGCTGCTCAAGGACAACAATTGAATCAGGATTTACTTGTTTCTGCTAGAATTAAATCACGATTTAATTGTTCCCCCTACCTTTCAACAATTAAATCACGATTTAATTGTTCCATCTACCTTAATGATAATAGTAATAGCAATAATAATAATACTAATACTAATAATAATGGTAATAATAATGGTAATAATAATAACAATAAAGAATATTAATAATAGTAAGAATAATAATAATAAGAGTAATAGTAGTAATAATAATAATAATAGTAATAGTAATAGTAATAGTAATAGTAATAATAATAGTAATAGTAATAGTAATAGTAATAGCCAAATAATAATAATAGTAATTGTAATAGTACAATAGTATAGTACAAAATAATAAAAGTAATAATAGTAATAGTAATAGTAATCGTTATAGTAATAGTAATAATATAATAGTCATTTAATCATAGTAATAGTAGTAATAGCAATGCAATAGTAATAGTAATCGTAATAGTAATAGTAATAGTAATAGTAGTAATAGTAATAGTAATAGTAATAATAGTAATAGTATAGTAATAATGATAATAGTAAAAATAATGGTAGTAAGTAATAGTAATGATAGTAATAGTAATAGCAATAGTAATATAATAATAATATAAGAATAATAAAAAATAGTATAGTAATAGTAATAGTTTTAGTAATAATAATAGTAATAGTAATAGTAATAACAATAGTAATAGTAATAGTAATAGTAAGTAGTAATAGTAATAGTAATAGTAATAGTAATAGTAATAATAATAGTTAGTAAAGTATAGTAATAATAATAGTAAGTAATAGTAATAGTAATAATAATAGTAATAGTAATAAAATAGCAAAAATAATACTAATGGTAACACTAATAACAATAGTAATAGGAATAGTAAGTAACAGGAAAAAAAAAAAAAAAAAAAACATTAAACCATGATTTAATGGTGCAAATAGGTACCAATTACAGGAAAGGCTGCCAGACCATTAACTCAGGATTTAATTGTTTGCCGGTCGAATGCAAAGAAAAACGATTAAATCCAGATTTAATTGTGTTTTCGGAGGGGCCAAGGTAGGTCGAGGTAGGTCAAGACCCAACCCAAACCCAACAGTTAAATCAGGATTTAGTTTTTTTTACTTCTGGATTCATTGGTTTTTCCTGGATCCCGGCCACGCATGCCTCCAGCCCCTCCTGAGCAGAACGCGCCTTCTTCTTCTTCTTCTTTTGCAGCCGCCTCGACGCCCTCTCACAGAAGGCCTCAGGAAGTTCCAGGGAGTCATTGTTTACAGGATGGCTTTACTACACTCCCTGCTGGACCAGCTTTGCGGCTGCCATCGGCACAGAGAAGGCGCTTTCCAAGTTTACGAACACCGCCAGCCTTGGGGTCTTCTTTGGCTGCCTGCGGCTTCGGCAAGCTGATGTCCAGGATCCCAGATGCCTCCAAGTCTTTCCAGGGAAGGCGGGCCTCCTCCGGCACCTGCTTTCAAGGCTTGGAGGTGTCGTTTATTACGGTTTAGGGAGGTTTAGGGCTTATAGGGTCAACAAGGCGATTCTGACCGATCCAACCGTTTGCCCCAACGCCCACCTCATCCATTGAATCCTGGAGTTGCTTCAGCGCCTTGTCTTTAGCTTTGCGCCTTCTGCCAGCCTCACTGAAGGGGTGGCCGAAGTGTCTTGCGACGGGGAGGAACAGGAAAGCGACCACTGCACAGAAGCAGACGGTCCCAAGCCCCATGATCAGAGGCAGAATGAAGTAGTAGGTGCCCACTGCCAGGCTACTGGCACCGGCCCCTAGCAACTCTTGCCCAACGCACGAGGCAGCATAGTCGACGGAGGACGGCATCGGCAACAGGGTAAAGGAGTCGAAGATTCTTCGCATGGCAACACTGACCTCCACTGGCCACATCAGAAATGGCACGCCCTCTTCGGGGTCCGTCTCCGAAGCCCAGAGACGGACCTGGCTGAGATCAAAGACTGTGAGGACTGAACAGGCCGCCAGCCACTGCGTGGCAATTCGTATCATCGAAGTGTGCAGCTTGCCGCTGCCCCGCACAGCAGCAGTGGCCGCCATGGACGCAACAACGAAGTTAAGAAGGACTTGGGTCAACGTATTCAGCAACACAGATGACGCAAGCAACAGGAACGTCCACTCGCAACGGGCGCAGGGTTGCTGGAAGGCAGGTCGTGCCCAGCCTAGAGGGCAATCAGCACACAGCATGCCGGTCGAGCCATCTGCGCATTGATTTCCAAACACTCCTATGCAGTTGGAGACGTTGCCTGTATCATTCAAACACGCCTCACCACCCAGGCATGCGCTGGAGCCAAGGTCTGTCAGAACGTTGCACTTGACCACATTGACCGTGCTCGTCCGGAAGAAGCCTGGCTTTGCAGCAGGTGGAACATGGGCTCCGGTCTCCAGGAAGCCACCAAGGCAATGCAAGTTGGCATGGGCTCCGCAGCTGGTGCATCTTGCAAGGTGTCCTCCGGAATCCAGCTCAGCAAAGTGTCCATTAGTGCAGAAGCATTCGGCCAGATCGGTCGATCCATTTACACTGTCGCCATTGGTAGGGCATTGAAATGGGCATGTCTTCTCGTTGCCATCGGCATTCTTGTATCGCCCACGTGGGCATTGCTGACACTGCGAGCCGACCGCATAGTAGCCGGCCTGGCAGATGCAATCGGACTTCGAGCCCGACTTCCTGGGCGAAGTTGCACCATCTTGGCAAGCAACATGCTCCCCTGTCCCGGGACAATAGAAGCCTGATTTGCAGTCCGTGCAGCGGCCGTTGTCCTCGGCAAGGCCGAGCTGGCATCGGCACTCAGCTGCAGAGGTCGTGCCTTGCTCCAATGTCGTCCGGAAAGAGGGACAAGCTGAACACAGAGTGTTTCCGGTTGCAGGCTTGTAGGCGCCAACTTCGCAGGCAGAACAGCCTGTCCCCTCCTCAAAACTGTAACCTGGGCTGCATTCGCAGTCAGCCTCACTCACAGGAACAACTCCTGCAGGCACGGACCTGTGCTGGGGGCACTCCAATAAGGTGGAGGTTACGAGAGGCTCCGACAGATGCAGCGACAGAAGTGTCCCTAGCGGATCCTCTTGTAGCACGGCTTGCATCACGGACTGCAAGACAGTCAGGTCGAGGTCTGTCGAAGCGAGCACAACCTCGTCCACCCCACGATACCTCACATCCACGACCAACACAAGAGAAGACTGCAAACGGCGGGCACCTTCTGTACCGTCCAGGAAGTTTAGTTGGATGGCACCGGCGGGAACACGAGCCGTGTCGGAAAAAGACGTCACCACAGCTCGCCGTAGCACCGAACGCAGCTGGTAAGGGTCCATTCTCTCAGACACTTGAGAAATGGAGACCTCCACGCGGAGTGTTGGCACGTCTGCCATGCTTGTTGTCATGTTGCTGGCATCACGATGATGGGAATCGAGAGCCAAGCTTTCCTGCACGACACAAGACACGTTCGATCCTGATCCGCGGGAATGCGTTGTTCTGTTCCCAGCACAGGGAACACAGTCTTCGTTGCCGTGCAGTGGCTTGTAGAATCCCACTTCACAGGGAGTGCAGGACTGGAGTACGGCCGAAAAGTAGTACCCCTTCGCACACACGCAATCATCCGCGGAAACAGATCCCAAACTTGCTGTCGTCTCTCCGCCTGCGCATGGAAGCTTCTGGGCTGAATGATGTGGCCCGCCTGGCACAGGGACTGGCTCTGTGTTGAAACTGCTACTGTGCAACTTGTCATGGCCTACTATAGGGGCTGGACGCGTGTATGGGGGTGTTGCTTTTCAGGTGATCCCGTCGCTTCACTAGGGTTTTGATGCCATGCATATTACCAGCAAAGCTTGGGGTGTCGCTTTACACTGTAAAGCTTCGCTTGGCATCCGAACCAGAAGGTCCGCCTCCTGGACAATAAAAGCCACGTGCACAGGCTTTGCACTTCGAAGCGATGACAAAGTGTCCGGAAGGGCAGCTGACCTGTAAGTAGCCTGCTGGTGCTCGAAATGAGGAGCTTGAGCTACAGTCTGCATCACTGGGGCACCAACACATTTGATAGAGCCCTGGGCTGAGTTCCATGCCAAGAACACCCAGATTGATGCGCAGACCGCTTTCAACGTCTTGGTCTAACGGCGCCTTCCGCAGGTAAGCACGTGCATCGCGGCAGCCAGTGCTGGTGTCGGCAGTCAAGAGGAAACTATCATTGACTGCCAAGGCAATGCCGGCCAAGCTCACCTTGCAACTGCTGCCAAGTGTGCAGTCTGTAATCTGCTCAAAGGGCCCATGCACAAGTAGTGGGCCCACGGTAGCCTTGAAGTCGCTTGCTTGCTCGCACGACAACAAATCAATTGGGCGGCAGAAGCACATCTGGTAGATTCCAGGCGGGGCGTACACAACGGCCATCTCATTGATGTCAAATAAAAGGTTCGCACCGTCCTTGGCAAGCAATAATCAGTAGGCAAGGCTTGCATAGCTGTCTGCGGAGACCCCATGTGAATCTCCAAACAATTGCCACAGACCATTTCAGGGCAGTTTACATTTCCCCTGTAAAACTATTAAAACTATTGCTTTGTTAAAAAATGTCCCCTGTAAAACTATTGCTTTGTTAAAAAATGTCCGAAGATGCCGGTGTCCTGGGCTTACCGGCTGCGACGTTTTGCGAAAGTTGTGCTACCCTAGAGATGGAAGACGGCGCTCGTGTGGCAGTATCCTTCGCGGACTGGTAAGTACTGGGTTTCCTTTCCCACAGGGTCTCAGCTTGCAGGTTAAAAGCATGCATTCGATATGGGGCCTCTAGAATCCACGAAAAGAGTAGCGACACTCTGTGCTTGCAACTGAGACATGCCATGTTCCCACTGGCAGGCCTGAGTGAAAGCGCACTGAGAGTTAGTTGTCCACAGACCGACCGCGACGGACGAGTCCTTGAGTCATGTCCAAAGTCCATGGCAACCCACCCGCGCGACAGCGTAAAGCACCACCCGAACGAGCCCCGCGTCATGCAAATGAGCATCCGTAGGGCTGAGTTGATGCCATCCGAACACCCCACACACATCTCGTGACAATATTCAAGAAACATGTTCTGCACTTAGCTACAACATGTAGCAGCTCATCACAGAAGCCACCCGACAAATCCCTCTTCCAATCTCTCGGAACACGCTGCGGCAGCCTAGTTACGGTATACTCAGCGATTCCACCTGCAGGAAAACCAGGCAAAGCAGAGCCCATGCCACAAGCTTCGAGAATCATCACTTTGTCGCCTGCTAGTGCACCAACAAATTCGAGGCCAGTGAGAACACAAGGCTGCCCGACGGAGCACGATGCCTCTTGGTTTGTCCGTGGCCCTTCCACCCGCAATCTGCCAGCAGAAACAGCAAACTCCTCGAAAGCACAGGGCGCTTGACCCCCACACCAGCAAAGAAAATATCCCGTATCACTTGCATCGAGAGAAACTCCATGGTCAAGCTGCCTGTACGCATCTGACGCACCGAAGCTCAGAGCGAAGACCGCGCTTGACACATCATCTTGTTGAACGATGCCAATGGCATTCTGATTTGCAGGGGAAAGCATGAGCATCGAGGAGACCAACGTGCCGCAGGCAGTGCTCACTGACACTTGCCCAACGAGAGATCCCACACCTTGGAAGGGCGCTAGGCCCGCACAGTCCTGGCCCCGCACGCAGGTGAAGCTGTGGTTGGCGAAAGGCCCCACCACTTCGAGATGCCCTGCTGCGATCTGAAAGCTTTCAGGGCGTGTGCACATGAGCCCAGGCGTACTGGCACACCAGCAAAGGATATAACGGCCTCCCGCAGGCGCGAAACCCACAGCCTCGCCCTTCCAGACATACCGCCGGCCTTGATCAACCGCGGGCTGCGACACGCCCTCATTTGCTACGTAGGGTACAGGCTGGCTGGACCCCGCGCAGCCGGACATGGCTAAGGCCATACGGTGCCCGTCATGCAGCTGGTATCCTGTTATGTTCACCGAACATTCGTGCCCAGCCGTGCACTGCAGCACCTGCCCCGCATGTGGACGGATGCACAAATCCTCCTCGCTAGCAGCTTCACTCTCGGTGGTGGAGCCTGGGATGCAGTCGATGCAAGCTGTGCGCGAAGTCGCTCCGGATATATTGCTCCACGTTCCAGCAGCGCATGCCTGGCAATCAGCATTACCGGCCTCTGGCTTGAACCTGCCCGGAGGACATGGCTCGCAGACACCCGACACGGCGAAGTAGCCCTCTGCGCAGATACAGTCTGTTACTTTGCTGGCGGCTTGGGCCAAGGTGACGGTCAAATGCGGGCATCGTTCCTTGTGGCCACCAAAGCAGAAAAAGCCTTGTTCGCATGGCTGGCAGTCAGAATTCGTGGAATCTGGACTGATATAACCAGCTGGGCAAACGCATTCTCCAGCGGACACTGCACCCTGTTGCAAGGTTGTCCGGGTTTGGCTGAGGCCTCCACCTGCTGCTGGGCAACTTGTGCAGCTAGAGTTACCGACGGTCTCCTTGTAGCTGCCAAGATGACATCTCGTGCAAAGGTCAGCATAAGGCTCCATACCATATGAGCACTGGCAATCAGCCAAACTGCGGATGTGCCCGGGCGGAAAGCTCCCTGCCTCCGGGCAACTGATGGTCTCGTTGGTGACAGCCGTGCTTTCCACGGTGGCAAGTGCCAACTCGCCTGGAAGTTTGATGGCCCAAGCCTCGAAAGGGTCTGCCAGGAACTTGGCATACGCTTCATGGGCGGCCTCCTCCTCATGACTGGAGAAGATGTATCTGACATCAGCTGATGTGGCCAAAATCTTGAGCGAGGCTCGTCCAGTATCCAGACCCACGTATTCCTCTAGGAAAGGCTTGAGCTCAAGGAGCTTCTCGGGCTCCACCTGAATGTTTCCGCTGAAGACGAAAACAGTGGCCTCGGCAGGCCCTTGCATCTGAACCACGGAGGCTGTGAGCTCTGTACAGTTAAAGACTGGCGATGTGTCCACATCCACCTTACCGCTCGCACAGAAACACTGTCCCTCACCAATGGCTCCAGCCAAGGAGGTGGTTTCTGCGGGACATTGGCCGTCACAGTGGTGATTGCCCACCTGCTGCTTGAAGGATCCAGCAGGGCAAGGCAAACAAACTTCAAGCTGGGAGTCCCATCTGAAGCCACGCCGGCAGGTGCAGTTCTGACGAGAGCTTGACTCCGAAGGTGAAGTGCTCCCATGCGGACAAGGCTGCAGTTTGCCGTCCTGTCCTCCAGCGCAAAAAAAGCCGGGAGGGCATTCTTGGCATGTTCGCGACCTCCCCACTAGCTCATAAGTACCGGGAGGGCAGGACACTTGCAAATGCACAGCTGTAGCACGATATTCTGAGATTTCGCAATCTGTAGAATGATGGCACCAGCACAATTGGACAACCTCAGGAGCAGCCCCTTGCAATGGCAGCAACCCCAAGTCAAAGACGATCTTGTCTGACGAACCATCAGCTGCAGCTTGCTCATTGTAAGCATAAAACGGCTGTGCATTTGGGAAAGTTGCAGACGGCCTTGAAGTGCCGCATTCCTGCATGGGTAACAGCTTGTCGCCAACTGCAAGCCCCGAACCTTGCAGCCCAGAGACAATGCAGTGAGAGGAGAAATCGCATTGAAATGCCTGACCCAGCAAAGGCCCAGTCAGTCGAACCAAGCCCACGAGAACTTGGAAGTCGCTAGCAGCCTCACAGCTTGTGTTGCTGTGTTGCCTGCACCAGCACATGGTGTACATACCTGGAAGATCTGTGAGGAGCTGCATGCTGCCATCGGCATTTTGAAAGAGGAATCTGTGTGCATCAGATGTCTCAGCATACTGCCCAGGAAGACCCACAAGGAATGGGCCCTGGCCGCACTCTGACAGGAAAGTTAGGCGGTCCGCTTCCCGAAGGCTCACACCTTGGAAACTTGTCTTGAAATGGAACTCTTGAATTTTCAAGGTAGTCATGAAAATTCCTACGTTTCCTATACTTCCCAGGCTGATTCAAGAACTCAAGAATGGAAACGCTAATGCGAAAAGTGATCCCAGGCTCCGTCCAGATGTACCTGACAAGTTTGGCCCTGCAGGCATCTCGCCTCTTGACCAGTATACGGCCCGAGTACACGTACGTGACCGGCTGGAACTATGTAGTCTGCCTCTTGGCAGGTCTCGTGGCCTGTCAAGGATGCATGCTGCAGGACTGTCAATGTCATGCCACTCCATCAACTCTATCAGCATGCTTGCAACTGTCCCTTGCAAAAGTGCCTCCACACCAGCACAGTTGGTATCCACGCTCGTCTGCGTTGACAGACAACCGGAAATCCTCCGATGTCCCAGAGCTCCCAAAGCTCAGCAAGAAACTGACGGCACCGCTGAGGCTTCCAAGGCCGTTCGTATTGGCAAGAGATATCTGCATGCTCCCAGCTCCACAGGTGGTTCTCACGCTTACCAAATCATGCGTTGACAGGCCGTGTCCTTGAAATCCCACCAGGCCCGTACAGTCCTGGCCCCGCACGCAGGTGAAGCTGTGGTCGGCGAAAGGCCCCACCACTTGCAGCTCACCGGCCAAGAACTGGAAGTCACCGAGGCTCAAGCAGCTGCTATGACACCAACACAAGCCATAGATGCCGCCTGCAGGCACAAAATCCATAGCGTCTCCCCACCTGTAGGAGCTGTCTGACGCAGCATCAGAGATGCCAAAATTGGCGATGTTGGGCACCAGCTCATCAGCATTGCAGCTGTAGCGGGAAGGTACTACAGCCAAGTGGTGTCCATCTCTGAGTCCTTGCCCTGTGAGATGCAGGGAACAAACCCTCCCAGATGTGCAGCTTCGTTCTAAACTTCTGTCTGGGCGAACACAAAGGGCTTCGCTGTCAGCTCCAGTCGCCTCGGTGGTGGAGCCGGGCTCACATGCAATACAAGAGTCCTCAGAACTCGAGCCTGACATGTTGCTCCACCGGCCTACAGGGCATTCAAGACAGACGTCATTTCCGACAAGGGCTTTGAATCTGCCACCAGGGCAGGCTCGGCATGCTCCAGCAGAATAAAAATGGCCGACTGAACAAATGCTTTGTGAACCGTACTCTGGTGCACTGTTGATTGCTTGGCCGTTCACCTTCACGTCACAGACTCGAGACTTTGCAGACAGCCTAGAATCATGGAAAATGAACGTACCAATGGTCACGCGGCGACCAGTCTTGCCGCAGCTGATCACAGCTGATTCCACAGGCAAAGCGTATATCCAGCTGCCATCACCAGCTTTGCATCCGGCATCTGTATACGTATCCCATTTCTCTGTGGTGTATTCCCTGTCATGCACATATGAAACCATGACAGCATTCATGGCAGTGAACTGCACTGTCTCGACAGTTTGAGAGTATTGGAAGTCCCATGAAACTGCCGACCATCCCGTGGTGTGGGCATCAAAGCATGTCTGCGAATGTGCCTGAGAACTCCAAGGCTTGATGGAGCTGCCCTACTTTCCAAAGAAGAAAATCCCGGTACAGCTCCTCGCTGCCGCCCCCGAAGTTATTTTCGAAAACTACAGAATCCTTACAATCATAATCCGGATCCTTGCTACCCTTAGGTCTGGACGACAGGGCAAAACTCAATCTTTGGACAACTTTCTCCTGAATCAGCATCACCCACAAAGGCCAACAGTTTCTGCGAACGACTTGGCCAGGCCGACTGCCTTCCAGGGCATCAGACACTAAACAGACTGACGTATACTATACACTACGCCACTACGCGATATTGGAAAACCTTTGCACTACCATACACTCCACTGTAAAACGCAAGAATATTTACGATATTTGGTACTATGGGTTGAAGGCCACCTGGCTCGGCATGCTTTGCGCCTCGGGACCACATACCAAAGAATCAAACCTCCCGCTTATCGTTCTGACTGGCTTGTTGCGTTCTTCCGATGTGAGCGCTCACTACTTGTTGATGCATTCAATAGGAAGAGCCCGTGCGCTTCGCGTGCTCCTGCAAAGCAGTGTCAAGACCCTGTCCAAGGACCATCATTTGAGAGATGGGGCTGCAAAAATGGTTTGAGAAAAGCCTGAAGAAAGCAACCCTTTTTCATCATTCCATGTACACTGGCAATCTGTGCTGCGCGCAGCGTTCATATTTCATGGGTGGTCATGAAGTGCGTCCTTGCTCCAAGGTGTGGGTGCAACACAAGCTTTACCTGCTTAAATGCGCCCGAACCAGAGCCACCTCCAGCACAGCCCACGGCCAGCAAGCAAAATGCCCCCATGGCGTTCTCCGACTTGGCGGTGAGCTAACCCATTGAAATAATCCAGTATGTCCCAAGATCATCGTGTATGTGACCGTGTTCGCTTGAATGTCTGGAGCCATATGTCTAATTTGCTACCAAAGAACATTTGATTCTCGGCCCCTGGCTCAGACAGGCTGCGACCAATGTGGCTCAGTTAACATACTTCGCAGGCAGCAAACCAAAACTTGCAAGTGAAAACAACATCGGGGAGAACTGCAGTCTTCAATGCTTGAACATGTCAGTAAAGAACTTCAGAGAATGGTGAGTGCGTGTTGGTGTGAAGAACGATGACAATCAAGTGTGACAAACATAAATACACATCAGTATGAGTAAGCAAGAAGTAACTAGGTGAGTAAAATGCAATGATTGAATAATGGTGGTGTGTAACCTGTTTATCACGTACGAAGACAAAAGGCTCTGCACAACTATTTCGGCTATCTTGTTGCTGTAAAGTGCTACATGCAAACAAACTGATTTCAGCTGTTCTTCAAGTTCTGATGTTCTTTTTCTCTAAGACCCTGCCTCGGCAAGAAACATACCATGATTATGTCTAAAGCAAGCCCTTAGCTTTCTCAAAACCCCATGCAAATGGAGGCAACAGAATGCACCTTCCGGACTTGAGGATAATCGACCACCAACTTGACAAAGTCCATTGGGAAATCTGCGGCCGACTCTAGAAGAGAATTATTGGCTTCCAAAAGAAAACTGGTTCTGTTTCAAGGACAACTGACTTGGAAACGACTCCATTCAAAAGAAAGATGACTCCTCCTTTGGAAAACTGACTGCCTCGATTTCGTTTCTTGAGGAAAACAGAGTCCGATTCTGGCCAATGGTGTGCAGTGAACTGTTCAATCTCAGCCAGCGCTTGCTTCAGGTGTCGGTCATGCTTCGCATGGTAGCCAACAGCAAGGAACAAGCCCCGCACGCCTTGCCGAAACTCGATCGGCACCACAAGTGAACAAACAAAGGCACACTTGTACAACCCACGTGCAGCAACCGCTTCACCGGAAAGGCATGCCCTGTAGCAGAAGACTTCGGCTGGGCTTTGTTTATATCTGGGGCGCATTCGTGCATTTCTTCGTCGCAAGGACATAGGTGTATATGTGTAGAGCGTCGGGCCGGAGAACCGCTGCTGAAAACTGTACAACTGTCCTAGCATCTGCTTGCAGCGATCTGCAACAGCAATCCGCATGTTCTGCGTTCTCGGCACCCGAGCTCAGACATTCATGACGGATCAGAAAATGGCGAACACATCCCCAACCGGCATTATTGCCTTCAATGGCTTCAAATCATTCCAGTGGCGCCGACAAGCCACATCTCTCTTCTGCTTGACTCGCATGTCAAATCAGGCCCTGACACTAAAGAAGTCCTCAATCCATCGCCCCTAAACCCTTCACCCTAAACCCTAAACCCTAAACCCTAAACCCAAATTACAGCTAATAGTCAAGCAGCAGAGGGTTCGGCCTACACTCCTCTTCAAACGCAGTGGTCGCAGCCCTTTCCATGATCTGGCATTATGCGCCATCATTGCTTTGGGGGGTCCCGTCTTCTCGACATGTTGTCACTGCTCCTCTTTAGGGGTTTGTGGCTACTGGCCGGCACTTCTGCTAGCTACTGGTCGGCACTTCTGCTAGAGCTTGCTGGGGCGAAGAATTCATTGCCTCTGTTTGAAAGAGAGGTAAGGAAGACTCTATATATTCTTGCCAGGGATGTACTGAAAACACAAACGCGGAAACGCCACATAACTAGATCAAACAAATCTAGCAGGGGAAAGCATGGATTCCATGCAATTCAAGGTTGAGGGCTGTGCCAAGGGCGGAACTTCCAGTAAAGCTGTGCTTCGGCCCCCAAGGGCAAAGAGCCATGCAGCCTGCCGTCTTTGCAAGCACTTCAGCTCTTCACGCAGCGACTGCGGAGGCGTACATTGGCCACCTGCGAGGCCGCGTGATGCATTCTTAGCGCGTGCCATGCTTCACTATTTGGTTGCCATTTCTCTTGACATCTCTGGACACAACTCATAAATGCGCGGTCTTTGCTGCTAGGCTGGTCCATGAACCATTTGAAGCACCAAGGACAGCGATCCCTCCTATACCCGATCCATAGATAAACCGTTATGGTCAGGAATGCTGAAGTGCTGCTGGGTGAAACGGTTTGAATGGGGCCCAGGTGATCGGCGAGCTCGGGCCTGGGGAGAGATGCCAGGCTCTCACAACTTTCGCGGGAGCATAGCATCACGATTCAATATAGAATCATGTGCCCAGGGCTTCGGTGACTGGCAAAACCACCTCTCGCATGTGGATGATGTGGCAGGCTCTGAACCTTTACCGGCTATAGCGGCTTCCAAGCACATCTCATCTGGCTTCCAGTCTGGGTCCTGTTAAGGGGGGGCGAGCCGTGGTGGTCGGTGGGCGGTTTAGGGTTTAGGGTTCAGGGTTCAGGGTTCAGGGTTCAGGGTTCAGGGTTCAGGGTTCAGGGTTCAGGGTTCAGGGTTTAGGGTTTAGGGTTTAGGGTTTAGGGTTTAGGGTTTAGGGTTTAGGGTTTAGGGTTTAGGGTTTAGGGTTTAGGGTTTAGGGTTTAGGAAACGCACCCTTTCGACTCTGAGTAATCCCCAAGACCACTACACCCTTCAACATCACTGAAAGCAGATTGGGCGGAGTCGGTGTGGGAACAAACGCTCTTTGGATCTCTATTCAGTGTTATGAAGCAAAGTCGCTTCTTGGAACAATCTCAAGTAAAAGGTTTCCACTGAAGCACGTTAACAAGTGAGGGTGGGTGGGTGGGGGGGGGCCTCATGGTCGATCTTTGCAAGGATCTAGCTTCAGGTCTTGGGCCGGATCTGTAGGGGTGGATGAGGTTGAGAGAAAAGTATGTGAGTCCTCATCCATCAGCTGCACATCAATCTGATGCCAATCAGCCTCGCGGTCGGCCAAAACGCCTCAATTGTCTTGGGTGGTTTGCTGGCTGCGCACAGTTGCGTGATCTGACACTATAACACAATCTACCACAAGGGTCTCCTTGGGCAGGGCCCCCGCTGTGCGGCTCTCTGTCTGCATGTACTGAGTCGGCCTTGGAAGGCTGGGGCGATTCAACAGTTTAGGAGTTGTGAACCGGTTGAGTTGAGTGGATTGTACACGAATGTGGGCTTCTGAGGCTGGGTCAGGGCTTAAGGATGTTGAAGGGTTTTAGGTTGTGGGCGGCGGTCTATGTGTTGCTTCTTTGAGCGGGTTCACACCCATCCCCAACCTCCAGGGTTTTGGGTTTGGGGTTTAGGGCATGCAAAAATTTCGCGAGGGTCTTAGAGAGTGCCACGCGGCCGCGCAAAGAGGACCAGTTTGTGTACCCAACAAAGCCCCAAACAAGGATGTGGTCAAGACACGTCCACCCCTCTGCTTTGAGGTTGGTTTGGGCTTTGTAGCTGCTGCCTGACAGACTGAACTCCAAACCCGGAGGTGTTTTTTCTTTCCTAACGTTGGCCCTGGCTCGTTGGCCTTGCTAACGTTGGCCCTGCCATTCCTGGCTTTAAATGCTATGAAATGCAGCATTTCTGGTTGCTTGTAAGCCCAAAACGCTCAAAAACACAGCGTTTGTGGGTATTCCAGAGCTCCAATTGCTGTAAATTCCGGCATTTGTAGTTGTTCCAAAGCTCTAAATACTGTAGACGGCGGCATTTGTGCTTGCTGCCAGGCTCTACATGATGGAAAAATACAGCATCTTTATGCTTTTCTATTTTTGCAGTATTGTACATTCTTGTATATTGAATACTATTGAACATTATTGTCGTTTTTCATTCTTGTCGTATATTCTTGTACAAGAGTGTGTATTGTTGCATTTTGAAAGTTATTAAATGCTATTGTATGTTCTTATATATTTGTATATTCTTGTATATTATGGTATATTATAGAACAAACTTGTATAGTTTAGTATGATTGTATCTCCTTATATGTTATTGTATATTTTAGTATATTTTTGTTTATTATTGTATATGATTGTATATTCTGGCATTCTTGAACATTGTGAGCAGACATGAGTGCATGTGCACCTGCAGCCTGTAGCTTTCACTTTGCATGTTCAGTTTTGCAATTCGGTTGAATGCCAATTTTGGCTCAAGTACCGAGCTAGACTTGTGCCTTTGAGCACGGTAGTCTCGTACAGTAGCTCTTCGGTTGCTGTGCGGTCCGACCGGACGCACTCAGGCGTAGTTGCACAGAGCGTGGACTCAAGAAGTCGGAAAACAGCGTGGCCAGCAGCGTTTGCTTTGGTGTAAGGCAAGACCTGACTGGTCGACTTCACAATTGGGGGCTGTTCTGGGAAATTTAGTTCAGCTCTTGCGCCTACGGCCCGGGTGGGCAAGCATTGTGCTGCTGCTGCTGCTGCTGCTGCCGCTGCCGCTGCCGCTGCCGCTGCCGCTGCCGCTGCCGCTGCCGCTGCCGCTGCCGCCGCCGCCGCTGCTGCCGCTGCTGCTGCTGCTGCCGCCGCTGCTGCTGCCGCTGCTGCTGCTGCCGCTGCTGCTGCTGCTGCTGCCTGCTGCCTGCTGCTGCCGCTGCCGCTGCCGCTGCCGCTGCCGCCGCCGCCGCCGCCGCCGCTGCTGCCGCTGCCGCTGCCGCTGCCGCTGCCGCTGCCGCTGCCGCTGCCGCTGCCGCTGCCGTGCCGCTGCTGCCGCTGCCGCTGTGCCGCTGCTGCTGCTGCTGCTGCCTGCGCTGCTGCGAAGACAATGCTGGCACGTGCTTTGATTGCCCGCTTAAAAAAAACAGCGGGGGGGTTGGGGGGGGCGCAGCCCCCCCCCCCATTTGCAAACACAATTTTCGCATCATGGGTTTGGAAGGGATTCATACACTTTGAAGCAAGCTTGCCCGGCTCCAAAAGAACAATATAAATACGTATTGTGTACTATGAATTCGACTATATGACTTTATATACATATATATATATATACATACATACATACATACATACATACATACATACATACATACATACATACATACATACATACATACATACATACATACATACATAATATTATATTACATTGAGCTATATTGTATGTATACTTATGTTTCTATTTGTATTCAATTATATCATATCATATCATATTCTATTTTATTTTAATATGTTATTGGATTATATTATATATACTATAATAGTATACTATAATATACTATACTGTATTATATTATATTTTTATATTTGTTTCTTATATATATTATTATATTGCATTATACTATGTTTATATGTGTATATATATATGTATATACATATATATATATATATATATTCTTATGTTATACTACATAGTCACTATACCATTATCATGATGACCAAAACAAGTCCATCAATAAAAACAAGCAAATCTGACCACGGGACCGGGAAACCGCAGGACCAGAGGACCAGAGGACCAGAGGACCGTAGGACCAGAGGACCAAGGGACCAGAAGACCAACAAACCAGAGGGCCAGGGGGCCAGGAGACCAGAGGACCAGGGGACCAGGAGACCTGTTGCCAACGTTACCAAGGACACCAAGCCAGGGCCAACGTTAGGAAAAAAAAACACCGGGCCCCTCCAAACCCCAAAAGCCCTAAACAGCAAAATCCAAATACTGGTACATCCAAAACCCCCGAACCACAAACACAATCGCGCCTTGCACTCTGAATCTTCCTCGTCGTTGGCACTGCCAAGTGCCATCTCCAGCCCTTTCACCTTCAACGATGCAGACATTTGTGAAGAAGTACGAGTTGTTGCATCGTGTTGGCTTGTGCGTGGGGTGGTACGATTTGTGGCCGCTGGCGCATTGCCTTGGAAGAGGTTCGAATTAGTGTCAGTGTTGCTGTTATGTGTGGGGCATCGGAAAATACACTATGACAGGAAACAGCGACTGCACAAAGGCACGGGACGGTATGACTGGGTAGGACCGGGTTTGCCCGGGTATGCCCGGGTATGCCCCAGTATGCCCCGGTATGACCGGGTATGCCCGGGTATGACGGGTATGACCGGGTATGACCGGGCATGACCGGGTATGGGCATGACCGGGTATGACAGCGTACTCAGGCGCATTCGCTGAGCGTGGCCACAACGGGAAAGTACGAATCTTTGGCACTGTATGGGACGAAGTACGAATCTGTGGCCACACTCGTTGTGGTGCATGATTTGTTGCCAATGCTGATTTGAGGTGGGGCATGGGAGTAAGCACGAGTTGTTGCAACTGTCGTTTTGGTTGCGGGGCCATGAGAAGCATGGGAAGAAGTACCATTTGGTTGCCGCGGCAAGAGGTATGATTTGTTGTTGCCACTGGTGTGTTGGCGTGGGGACAGGGTATGCAGAACGATGTGGTCAATGCTGTTTTGGCGCGCCACAATTGAGGGATGAGGGTCTAGGACACAAAACTGGAACGATAAAGAACACATGAAAGGGGAGAGAGGGGAGAGGGAGAGACCCTAAGCCAGCCTTGTCATGGTGGTCTTTCTGCTCATGGACCAGGAGAGTCATATCTGGCGGCTTCATCTCATCCATCTCGCTTATGCCTGCCTGAGTGAGAAGGTTCTTGCTCAAGTCCATCTTACGCAAGGTGAGGACCTTGTCCCGCTTCCACTCTGCCAGAAGCGCGGCCTCCGCCACTTCATTAATCAGCGTGGATGTGTCAGCCAGCAGGTTCGATGATGGGCGCGTCTCTACCTGGAGGGCCACCCACGCCTCGAACAAAATCTTGGCGTCAGCGTCTTCAATCCAATTATCCTTGGCATTTAAAACGCCTAAACCCTTAAACCCAAAACCTACTTGAAGCAGCCGATTCGGTTTTGGATGTGCTCTTGCAGCATCCCCCCTCATGAGCCACTGCGAAACGGCACACGACTGGGATAGGATTTTGGATTCGAGGCTTGGGGCTCGGGGTTTAGGATTCCAACCCTAAACCCTAAACCCTAAACGGCCTATAGGGTTTAGGGACTGTTTAGTAGTCCCGGCAGCCATCAAGAGAAGCTCTTTCAACCGCGGCTTCTGGCGCAGGGCCTCAGCGAGAACCCGGGCTCCGGCGCCAGCAATCGCGTTCCGGCTCAGATCCAGGGTAACCCAAAGGCATGAGTTCGAGAGAGCCTCTTGCAGCTTAGGTTTAGGGTTTATAATAGGGTTTAGGGTCTAGGGTTTAAACAGCATTAGGACATTTGGGGTTCTGGTGTTTAGGAGCTCATGGGGTTTAGGCTTGAGGGGGGTTTGAGAGTGTTTCAAGGTTCGGAAACCCCACTCGAATCAATGCCGTCACCCAGGCACCTAGACCCTGAACCCGGATCGAATTCTTTAGGTCAGCAGGGCCTCGGCAATGGGCTGCATGTCTGCATCGGCAAGCCCGCACTGTTGCAGAGACACCTCGCTGTGGTCGAGACGTTCAGGGCTCATTTCAGGCGTCAGGCAAGGGGTGCTAAGACTGCCAATCAAAGATGTCCACAGGCCAAGACTTAAGTTATACCGCCCCAGGGAGCCCCACCTTCTTCAGGGACTGGATCCAGCTCAGACGCAGCACGAAGCCTTGGACGTTTAGATTGCAGTTGGACAGTTTCAGCTGCTGCAGGACCTGGAAGGACTGCAGGGAATCGGCGAGTATGTCAATCTCCGTGTCTGGCAGCCCATCCAAGTCCAACTCCCTAGCTTCGCTTGCCTTCTTCTCAAACGCATTTCGCTGCGCTGACACCAAAGGCAGAAAATCGCTTCGATGAGTGAAGTGGACCTGGGGATTTCGGAAGGTCTCTCCGGGGCCAGGGTTTAGGGCTTCGGGCTTCGGGTTTAGGGTTTACGGTTTAGGCACCCCACGCCCTACGCCATACACATCCTTGAATCGAACTTGACTTTGGTAAACCCCCACGTCACTCTTGGCAAGTTCGCGACGGAAAGTTGCTGGTCCCCTGGGTGCGCAACGCAGAAGTTGCTGGGTGGCCAATGAGTGTGTGCCCAAGCAGTATCCAAACATGTTGGAATTTCGCAGGCTGGACCACTGGACTTCTGCGATGCACCATCCCCGTTTGAAATACCTGCAGGGGACTGTGAGAAACCAAGAAACAACTCAGCAAGAACAAGACTTACAGAGACGACGGCTGCCATGTCGCTCGGTGGTGTTCTCTTGTAGGAGACTTGGATCGGTCCACTGAACTCCTGGTTTCTCTGAGCGGGGTGGTTCCCGGTAGACATAGACTTGATGGCCCTGCCGGGAAGCCTTCCAGGATTGAGGAGTTAAATCTGGCACGCACACCGTGTGTGTCCATTCATGTGTATAGAGCATGTCCATGCCATTCATCGCAAGGCGGAAGGCATGCTCCTCATGCTTTCTCTTGCGCCGGAACTGATACAAGCTCACATAATCAATGAAGACACCAGGGATCATGTCTGAGTCCTTCTTCCATGCACAGTGCAGAACTTTGACGAGCTCAGCCAGCTGAAACCCATAGGGATCGGGGTGTTCCAGCGTTTCCCAAATGTGTGACAGAGACACCACGCGCTGTTGCTTTGGATTCTGCCGCATCCGCTGGGACCAAGCAACCACCTCGAGAAGGTCAAAAAATGCGGAAGGCCAATAAAGGTATGACAGACTCTGAGTTTTGCTGAGCCAGATTCCTATATATATATATATATATATGCTACCCCCCCCCAGCGACCTGCCCTTTTTAGGCCTTTTTAGCCCTTGTAAAAAAAAAAAAAAAACAACAAAGAAGGCCCAAAAGTCGCGTAGTTAATCACCGGGTAATGAAGGACAATTACTGGGACACCCACCTCACAGACCCCGATAAGCCAGCATTGGAAGAATCTACATTTTGAATCTGAAGCGGACAATGCTGTTTTTAGATGATTAGATCTGTGTTTGTCTATGCAAATTGTGCGTTTAAGGGGCAATTAATGTTTTGTTGAGCAACTAATTTATTTATACAATTTTGTTTGTACGAGGCAAAGTATTAATCAAATAGTGAAACATTTTTCTTGGTTCTATGCGAATTTAACTACTAAAGTAATTATTAAGCAAAGAGCCCAATTTGACTCAAGTGAATACTATTTAAAGGAGCATACTCAACCAAGATACGAAATAGACGGCAAAGTGTGCGTTTAAAGTGCAAGTAATGCTTTGTTGAGCAACTACTGTATTTATACAATTGTGTTTGTACTAGGCAAAGTATGCTCTCTGAAAAGTCCACTGAAATACCTTATGTTTACATATTCATGAATCGTTTTTATTTTTGAAATAATTGACCATATATATATACAATATAAACCCTACACACCCTGCCACAGGCGACCCTACAAACACTGCCTAGGAAGGATCCAAAAAAATATTCCCTCAAAGCTGAAGCAGAAATGCACGAAGACAGAAAATGGATCGATGCAGGAGGATTCTCTCCGGTATGCGGTAGAACTGAGACGGATCCTTCTTAGTACCCTAGACTGTAAAGGAATGTACAATAATATAGAGCCCAACAGGGCCAATAATCTACAACAACCGAATCCAGAAAAGCCCTTGAAGCCCGTGCCTCTGCATGACTCAACAGGGCCGGTAGCCCGGAGCGCGTCCTGAGCTTCTCCGCTTCCTGTCTTCTGGGCCAGACACCCTTCGTCTCCGCTAGCTCCAGCAAAAACTCCACATTCACCAGCTTGATGTCCTGGGGGTCGTAAGTCACAGATCAACAAAACTAAGCACAGTCCAATATGAACAAACAAGCCTTTTCGGAGTGCCGGCGCCAATCTGTCATCACAATCCAAAGTAGCAGTTTTGGAATCCGAGTGTCCGCATCCAGCAGAAAGGTTGCCAGCAGCGTGGGATCCTCCAGTGACTCCATTGGGTGCCTGCGTGCCCTGCAGCCCATGACACACACAAAGATGGAGAGCATCCAAATCGACATCATGCTGTAGGCAGCTGGGCCCACGAAGGTGTAGAGGTCGAAATTCTCGGATGTGTCAGGTCGGCCCAGCCATCGGGCCAGAACCATGCTCGCCACCGCCGGGAAGCTACATGCCAAGACGCCGGAAGCAACCCACGTGACGAAGGCGCTGTACGTCTGGCTCCGCCCAGGTCGCGTGAATGCTCGACATCCCAGCTCCCGCAATCGAAAGCAGCTTAGCTCGAAGCGGATGATCACAAGGAAGAAGATGGCGAAAAAGCTTACAAAGCCCAGCACAAGGCCGGCTACAAAGTGTCTCCTGTTCACCATGTCTGGCGAGTCATATGCGTTCTCCATGCGCCATGCTTGTGCAACTTCACTAAAGGACCAAAGCTCACTGAAGGTTTCACCATCTCGATTGCCACCGTGCAGCCAGATCTGGCCTTCTACAAGTGCGCCGGCATGGTGCATGAGCGGTCCTGGTTTTCGGCCAGCAACCTCGACAAACAGCCACGTCTCCTTGGCCACATCGAACTGGAAGAGATCAGAATGATGCGGTGCGCCCTGCATGCCCTGCATGCCCTGCTGGGCGTCCCCATGCATCCACAAGACGCCGTTCTCATAGAAGGCGACATGGCTGTGACTAGCAGGTCCCGCTGGTAGCTCCTGCCAGCCATCGTGGACACTAAACGACCAGGTATCTGCAAGTATCCGTCCGTCGCTCGACCGGCCGCCATGCAACCAGATGGTGTCCGAGTTGCCGCTTGCCAGCACATGCCAACTGCGTGGTTCGGGCACGTCTCTTCCACTTGACAAATTTTCCCAGCGTGCCCTACCTAGTCCAGTCAGGTTGCCGAGCCAAAGGTCACCGAAAACAATGTCTTCCCCTGCACCGCCATACAGCCAGAAAGCACCATCCGGGTGCGGCTGCATGGTGTGAGCATAGCGGGGTGAAGGCATAGGCATAGACTCTGAGGTCACCTTCACCCACGCCCGGTCAGCCAGGCGCCAAGTGTCACCCAAGATACAGGCCTTCGTTCTGCCCCCAAAGAGGATGATCGAGGGGCCGAGGATGCCGGTGACAAAGATCATCGAGTGGTCTCGGCGTGGTATCGGTGGCTCCCTCAAGGTCCGCACCTGGCTCCACTTTGCCGCCAAGTTCTTGGGCTCATAGAGCCAGAGCTCGTTGACCTCCTCGGCATATGCTTCAGGGCCATCCCGCAACGCGGCACCCCCAAAGACCCAAAGCCTCTGCTCAGCATCCGGGACCTGCGGAAGGCCCAAGGTACCCTAAAAACAAGAGCTTAGGATGGTTTAGCACGTTCGTATAGTATAGGGTTCACGGGGTTCAAAACCCTAAACTCAAAACCATCCTAAACCCTATAGGCCCCACCATGGCATGGCCAAAGCGGTGGGACGGCACACAGCTTACGGTCACATAGCAGAGTGCAGAGAGTGCCGACCACAAACTGCGCCCCAGCATTTGTCCAGGCTCTAAAGTTACTAGACCTGAGCCGCTCACGCCTGCGGGAGTATTTCCATAAAGCCCGATATCCCCAAACCCCCAAAAAACCTCTCACATCCTGTCACCAAAACGAAGCCTCAGCTCGAATGACATCAAAGGTGTTCCAGATTGTACTGCTGTCATTGAGAAAAGTGGTATTTAGGGATTAGGGTTTGTGGTTTAGGGGATTTAGGGTTAATTAGAAAAAATTAAGCTCGTGCTGGCCCTACGGGGGCCCGCGGCGCAGCTCATGCTTTTGTCTTGCACGCAGCGCTTACTTTTTGATGAAGTATTCGTGGATGAATTGGCTTCACGCATACACGCCCACAATGATCTCATCCCATGGAAATATCAAGGAGTTTTTCCTGGCATATCATCAACCAACTCACCGCTGACCACGCCCACCTTTCCTGTTCATTTCAATCTCTGTTGGCTTTCCACGATTCTATTGCGGCGCAGAGCTGTGTGCTGCCAGTAGACCGAAACGGAAAAGCACGCCGAAAGCCCGTCACCATCAACACTCTCAACAATAGACGGCGACCTGCTTGCTCAACTAGCTGGGGAAAATGGTTTTTGGTTAGGGCGGCCCAGCCGAATCGCTCTAGTAAAATGAAATTGCCCGCTAAGGGTACTCGTGTATTCGTAAGACAGGCTCAGGGTGCAGGATTATCTCCTGCAGCCACCCACATACCTTTAAGCCACACACCTCCGAGCGTTCTTAGCGAGTACGGTCAGAATACCCCAGACTGCCAACAAAGTATTGCGAAAAGGGAAGCTCGTTCTTTGCAAAATGGGATTGAAGTCGAAGAGAACAAAGCCCCAAACAGAACACACTGGTAACATGAGAGTCGATTTCACAACAGAAGCACTTAAGGAGCGAAGTAAGCTCTAAGCCCTAAACTCTAAATTTAAACCCTGAAGCCCTGAAGCCATCAAGCCCAGAGATCCAACGCGCTGTCCGCACCATCGACATGAAACCCTGCAGATGCTGATGGAAGCTCATCAAGACCAGGAACAAGATCTGGCTCTAGCTGCTGGGGGCTTCAAATGAAGTGTGGGCCTCTCATACTTCCCATGTGCCACACGTGGCCAAAAACTTAACAAGGCCAATCACCTGGCCATGGCTTTTGCCTAAGTTCTCCACCATTTGGACCTGAAGACACTTGGGCCCACACGGCTTTACGTAGAAGCTGATTCACTCAATCATTTAGTACCCTTAAAGCCGCCCTGCACACTAGCGCAATCAAGCCGCACTGCGCACACAACCTCTCCCTCGCCCAATTCCGGGCCCGACCCCCGCCCCCTGCCGTTTCATGTTGTGCACTTTGGCCCACACGGGCCATGCACAGAAGCCGAGTCACTCAAGTCGCAACAATCCGACGCACCCAAAGTCGCACTGCGAAAAAGCTCAATCAAACCGCTGCAGGCACACAGGTTGCACCCACCCCACCCATCATTTTGAGCCCGACCTCCACCCCCGTTTCACCTTATGGACAGAATTGTTATTCTTAAGTTTTTTTGGTGGGGGGGGGGGGGTGTCTTAAGCAAATGGTAGCTTATAAGCTGAGGCCACTCTTTTTTCTTGCTTCTGGCCGAGATCCTGAACGGGAATCATGGTTCTGCTAGGGGAATCGAAAACATCCTCAAACAGCCATCAAGGGTCTCTGCGCATCCAGCGGGCTGGTTTGCCCAACCCGCTGGTTTGCCCAACTCACAGACCAACCGGGTTCAGGGTTTCAACCCGAATCCCCGAAAGGGTTTACGTTGGGGTTCGGGTTCAGCGTTTCGGGTATGATGCTTTATAGAAAAAAGCTGCCGCAGCCGCACGTCCGGCCGAACCCTCAACCATAAGAAGCGCTAATAGGCTAATGAGCCCTGACAAACCCCAATAAGCCCGAATGAACCCCAACAAGCCCCAGTATAACCTCATAAAACCTAAACCCGACACCCTAAACCCCAAGCTAGGGCCTCGGCTTCCACCCCACTGGCACAGAAGGTTTTGGGCATAGCGGTTAGTGCTGACTCCGGGTTTAACACCTTGGGGACCAAACGAACCCTAAACGGGTGTTCATATACCTTAGTAGGATTTACCCCCCCCCTTTCACAGGGAGCTGCAAACCGATATCGTGGGGGGTCCCGCCTCTCAGCGGCTCCTACAGAGATATCGCTTCCCGAAGACTCTGAGACCCCCCTTGAAACCTTGCCTGGAACCCAGACCTCTGGCGCTCTTCGGTTTTTACGGTGTTTAGGGCTCAACGATGGTTTTTTGGGTCCATTGTGCTAGGCGCGACCATAAAGCTACAGAAAAGAAATACGGACTTCGTGCTGCTATAGAACCTGTTTCCGATATAAGCCCAACATGACCCCAGAAGGGTTTATGGTTCATAAAAAACCTTCATAGGGAGTACGGTAGTATCGGGTATATGACCCCAATGCTCGGCTTCATTTGGTCCCAGGAAGAATCCTTACAGTAACCCTAACGTGTTTACTTCTTCGCAGATGCCCTATATGGACTACCGTGGTGACGCTTCTTACACGGTCGCTGCGAAGTGAATTGCTCAGGTATTCTTTGCGAACTGCCATCGTGTTAGACCCAGACCCTAAACCCGAAAGGTTGTGTCATCGAAACCGGAAGCAGAAATTGCTCGGACTGAAAAAACAGGAGCTGGCACCTGCTTGCTCACTTGAACCTACCAAAAAAGTTTCAGGTTCAGGCTATAGAGGGTGCATAGCGGGCATGATTTTAAACTCAAGGCTGAGCCAAGCAAGGCCTAAACCCTAAACCTTGTACCTTGCACTGCCCCTGCACCCTGCAGGCTTAAACATGCCCTGAAACACACCGTCTAATCGCAAGAGAAACTGAGGGGGTTTAGGAGGTGGAGGTTTAGGGCGAATGGCCTTTTTTGGAGGGTTTAGCGTTGGACAACACTTATAAGGATTCCAATCACCAACAACGCCAGCAAGGTGTCCAAGCTCATTGGACCTCTGCGGAACTCCGCTGAGGCATTGTTCTAACCTCTGATGCCGAACTCGCAACCTACAGCCTATACATAACCGAAAGTGCGAGATTTAGGGCTTGGGGGACCTCGAAGGGCAAAAGCCACCTTATAATAGTTTCCGGAACCCTGTTGCACAGTATTCTGGTGTGGCAGCAGGCGTGCGCGTACTGCCAGTCAATGAGGGAGCCACCCTTTCTGGTTTAGGCTTCAGGGTGTATAGGGCTTAGGGGGTAAGGGTTGAGGGTCGTGAACCTGCCTTTTCGCTACGGGACGACATGGAATGGGCTTGAATGTCGACGGGATCCTACATCCGGCGATGCCGTGGCCCCATGGTGAACCTGGGGAGCTGGGAAGCTGATCTTTGTATACAAGTCTATCCCTACAAACCCAAACATAAACATTGTTTGAGGTTTCGGGCGAATCGGTTGAAACCGAAGGTCGGCGCAGAGTCCTTCTAGCCCATATAGAGCCTCATCGAAGAACAGGCCTGGATGCTTGAGGTCTACGTTCTGCACTCAAGGCGTTCGTGTATAGAGAGAAGTGTATAGAACGTAGCGGGCCAGTTTCTAACACGACAAGAACTAGAACTTATTTGGGCAAAATGGATAACATTAGAAAAAATATCCCCTCAAGTTCATAAGAGTCTCCTCCTAAAGTTGCATGTTCGACGACTCTCACTGTTGCGAGTAGGCATAGAATATTAAACCCTACAATACCTGGGTCAGATTGGGATCGAGATGGGGAGTGTGCTTTAATTAATCTCAAAAACAAATCCTAGGGGATAGGATTAGGGGGACCCTTGGGGATATAGACCCTCTGAATAAGGTCCCTGTTTAAGAGAGCCAGAAGAGGGTTCAGAAGGGGTACCCTTTCAAGGGCCCCCCTTATCCTACATAGGAAATCCCATCAAAGCAAGCCCCGCTTTTCGGCTCGAGCTGCGGGGTAGCCCCGCCGTTCGGCTGGAGATGGAGCACCCGCACCCCGCACCCGCACCCGCACGGACAGACACATAGACACACACCGACGCCGACACGCACAGACACACGCAGACGCACGCAGAAGCAGACACACACACACACACACACACACACACACACACACACTCACACTCACACTCACACTCACACTCACACTCACACTCACACTCACACTCACACTCACACTCACACTCACACTCACACTCACACTCACACTCACACTCACACTCACACTCACACTCACACTCACACTCACACTCACACTCACACTCACACACACACTCACACACACACACACACACACACACACACACACACACACACACACACACACACACACACACACACACACACACACACACACACACGCACACACACGCCAAGAGGATGGATGATGTCACTGCCCTGCGTCGCAGCATGGCGGGCAGCCACAGGAGGTGTCTCAATCTGATACAAATTCTTTCAGTTCTGTTTTCAATCTTGCCCAGTGTCCCCAAACCACCCGTTCGGGACACCTCGGGACACATAGCTGTACAGCAAACAACCTACAATTCACAGCGACAAAGCGCACACCACCCGCATGCGCTCACGGCAATACCCACACCCACACCTACACCAGACACCGCCCAAATCACCACACACCCCACACCACCGACACCAATTCTGGGATGGGAAGCGGGACGTTTGTTTTCGGTACCCTTTGCCCAAACCCTTGTCCACATCGGCCCCCCCCTTTTCGGGACAGCATCCTGCCTCCTACCCCCTGCCGCTACACCCAACGGAGTTTTTTCTTTGTCCTGGTTTAAGTCCCGCTTGGGCAGCATTTTTGCCCTTACCTTCACCATAAACCCGACCACCCCCCACCCCACTTCCTTCACCCCCCACCCTACCTTCGGCCCCCCCCCCCTCCTCCTTG